ATTTCAGTCCGGCTCTGCCCAGCTGCGTTTTCTGCCTCTCTCCGCACATCCCTCCCCAGGGATGGGGTTCAGAGGGTGGGATGGCAGTGGGGTCCCCCGCGGACACGTCCAGGGTGGCTGCGGGTGAAAGCAGGACCAGAGATGGGGTGCAGAACAGTGGCACCCCACACCATGGGGCAGACCCGGTGTTCAGGGGTCTAGGGGGACTGAGGGGACCCCGCTGGGGAGGGATGCGCGGCTGCGTCATCCCTCCGTGCCATCCGCACCCAGCCACCCACTTCTCTGCTATTGTCTTACACCCGCTGTTGCTTCTGCTCCCAAATTAGATGCTTGGAGGGGGGGGGGGGGAGTTGGATGCATGCGGGTGTCAGTGCAGCACCCGGGCCCCCATCCCTCCCAGCACCCCAGGGAGGGAGCGCTCACCCCTTTGCCCACCCCTTGCCTGGGTGCCCGTGCCACACCGAGGAGATTTTCACCCGTGGGGCGCAGGTGCTGGTCCTGATGTGGGTGTCTCGGTGATAGCCTACCTTGTGGGGTACCCCAGGAGTGCTGGGCCCCCCAAGAACCAGCCCAGGGCAGAGGAGAGTGCTGATGCTCAGCATTGGCAGGATGGGTCCCTGCTAAACCAACGGGAACTAATTTTATGAGCTCAGATTAGCTGAGCGCTTGCAGAGACAGCAATAAAATCCCGATGTATCATCCCACCCGGGTCCCCTTCCTGGCTAATCCTGGCATCACGCCGCCGGTTCTGGCAGCCTTCCCACCTGCCCACAGGTCAGCCCTGGCCCTGCTGGCCCACAGCACTGAGCCCACTGCCACGCCAGTGCCTGCCAGGACAGCACTGGTACCCCTTGGCAGGGCACGGTGGCACAGCAGAGCTGGCATCGCATGGTGTGGGGTGTCAGGCAGGGAATGTTTGCTGGGAGGTTGTAGGGGTGAGCTGAGCATGGGCTGGAAAGCCTCACCCGGTCTGCAACACGGGGAAGGGTGTCCTGTGGGTGCTCCACTTCTCTTCCAGGAGCGAGTGCACCCTGAGAGGGACGGGGACAGGTGGTCTTTCCTGGAAGGAGGGTGCCCAGGTGTCACGCAAGCTGAGGGCACCCATTTTGCAGGCATTGCTTGGGCAGACACAGAGGCAGGTTAGCCCTGAGGCATGGAGGCAGGAAGGAGCATCCCCCCATTCCTCATCTCACCATACCCATGTCCCACCCCAATTTGGGGTCAGTCACCCCAGGGAGCATTTAGGTGCATGCCCTGGGTGCTGTGGGCTGGACCACGCTCCCCCCGGGGCCCGGGGGGCAGGGCAGGGGCCGGGCACCCGCAGGTGGGTCGGGTGCTGCCGGGTGCTGCCCGTCCCTGCCCCCTCCGAAGGATGTGCCGCTTTCCGCATCTCCAGCTCCCATTGCCATAGCAACAGGCTCGGTGCTTGGGTACCCGCCATGCCGGCTCCCGCATCCCGCACTCCCATCCAGCCCGCGGCCCCTGCCACCGACCCGGGTGCTGCCGGCACAGCGAGGTCGGCACGGCGCTGTAGCAGTGGGTGATGGGTGAACTCCAGCATCGTGCCAGCATCCTGGGGCAGGGTCCTCCTCAGGCCCATCTGAGAGGGCTGGGGGGACATAGGGAGCCCTTTCTCCTTCTGAGCCATCAGAAAATCATCTCAGTTGAAACTTTTTCCTCTACAGGGTGGGAAAGGGAAAAAAAAACAGAAACACTTTATGGGGTCAGTTTTTGGCTGGGAAGCTTCTGAGCAGGGTCCAGTTTCAAAGGGTTCCCAGCAGGAAAGGAGGAAAATGGGATTATTCCTAAAGCCGCAGAGAAGCTGGTGTGTGCTGGGGCCAGTGAGTGTCCTGCCTGCTGCTGGCAGCAGGAGGGCAGGAACTGCTGAACTGTGTGCCCACCTGCCTGGGGCTGGTAAGGGATGGGGAGCTGAGGCTGGGGTAACTCGCTGCACGTGTGATGGTGAGTGCAAGTGCTCAGCTGGGGGAAGCCCTGCCTACAGAAATGTCACCATAGGGCAAAACTGGGCTGAGGAATGGAAAGGGGTCCGTTCACCTCTGCTTGCCTCCCTGGCGGGTGCTCTATGCTAGCCCTGGCTACTTAATAAATCATTGATGATCCACAAAAGCCAGAGGAGTCAGTTTGTGGCTGCCCTGGGTGGCCTGAGCCTGGGCAGAACATCTGGACACCGCAGCAATGGATGCACATTGGTGGGGCTGGGCATGTGGTGGCTTGCAGCAGCCAGGGAGCAATAGCAGTTGCTGCGCTTCGTCAGGTCTTGTGTTAATTAGTGCGGCTCAGGGGGGGCTGGTGTGGCTCCAGGGGGGCTGGTGGTGCCAGGCTGCTCCTGGCCTCTCCCTGCCCTGCCAGCACCGGGCTCTGCGATGCCGTTTGGCTGCGTGACGCTGGGAGACAAGAAAGATTATAACCAGCCGTCCGAGGTGACCGACAGATATGACCTGGGCCAGGTCATCAAAACGTGAGTTGGTCCCTCCCCGGCACTGGGGGTGTCCCAGAGACCCCAACCACTGGGTGCCCCAGGCTGAGGAGTGGGACGGTGCTGCCCACAGGGGATTTTAGGGTGACGGTCCCTGGCTGGGACAGGCAGGGTGTATTTTGGGGTGACTGTCCCCTCATTAATCCCCATGGCTGGTACGTGGGGAGATTCACTGCCAGCTCTGAGGAGGGCAGTGAGGTTTTGGCTGCAGCCAGGCAGCTCCCCATATCCCTCCCTCCTCCCTGCCAACATCTGCAGGAATTGCAGCAATTCCACACGATCCCAGCTCCCCGGAATGCTTTAGGAAGCAGGAGGGCTCTGCTCCAGCAAAGGAAAGGGCAGATATAATGGGTGGGGGGGACAGCAGAGCACTGCTGCTTCCCCCCAACTTTTCTTGCCATGCTGGGGGACCCATTAGGAAGTGCTCCACAAAAGGCAGCCCTCAGCCCCAGTAAGAGCAGTTTGACACTGTAACACCTGCCAGAATTTTTTCCATCAGCCACCAAAAGACCAGGGCTGCTTGGCCATAGGTGTCACCTGGTAGGGTGATGCTGGCACCTTTTTGGGTGCTCTCAGAGCTTCATTCCATCCTCCCAGAAGCCTGTCCCAAATCCCACGGGTCTCAGCTCCCCTGCACTCGGGACAATGGCCACCAGGATTTTGGCATGGCTGGGGCAGGGGTGGGGTTTGGAAAGCCAAAGGCTTTGTTGGAGTGGTGCTGAGTGCCCCCTGTGAGCTCCCCTGCAGCTCCTGCCGGGCCGATGGGCAGGAGCACCATGAATAATAGAACAGAAATATTGCAGCATCCCCAGGCAACTGGCACCTCTTCCCTTCTTTCTTCCCGACCGTGGTGCTCGCATCCATGTCAGGAAGTGCTGCTGTTCCACCTCAGCATGAGCGGCTTCGCAGGGGGTCCCACCCCAGCTCCTATGGGGAGGGGGCTTTTTAATCAGCAAATACTTCCCCTTCTCCATCAATTTGTTTATTCCTTATCAATTCCTTCTCTCTGCCTGTTTCTGCCCCACCCCCCCACACACACACACTCTGGAGGGGTTTTTAGCCACTGTTTCCTTCCACCCTTGCGGCATCTCCACTCGCTGCTGGGATGGGAGAATGTTGGTGGGTCTGGGGACCACCTGAGTGTCCCAAGCTCAGCAGTCCCCTGCGGGGGTGATGGCTGTGGGCACCCTTCCAGGGAGGAGTTCTGCGAAATCTTCAGGGCCAAGGAGAAGACGACGGGGAAGCTGTACACCTGCAAGAAGTTTCTGAAGCGGGATGGGCGGAAAGTGCGGAAGGCGGCCAAAAACGAGATCATCATCCTCAAAATGTGGGTGCTGGGGCTGGGGGGACCCCCCTGCCACCAGGCAAAGCAGGGAACCCCTGCTGAGTCCCCCCCCCCCTCTCTCTTCAGGGTGAAGCACCCTAATATCCTGCAGCTGGTGGACGTCTACATCACCCGCAAGGAGTATTTCATCTTCCTGGAGCTGTAAGTTTGGGGGTCGTGGGGGAGGTCTGGCTGGGGGTGTCCCTGCTGGGGGCGGGGTCTCGGCAGAGCTGCTGTCGGCAGGGCCACCGGCCGGGAGGTCTTCGACTGGATCCTGGACCAGGGTTACTACTCGGAGAAGGACACCAGCAATGTCATCCGGCAGGTGCTGGAGGCTGTCGCCTACCTGCACTCACTCAAAATTGTCCACAGGAACCTCAAGGTGGGTTGTGGGGAGGTTGGAGCACCCATGGGTGCTGGTATGCCCCCCGTCCCAGTAATCATGGCCCCTGTTCCTGCAGCTGGAGAACCTGGTGTACTATAACCGCCTGAAGAACTCGAAGATTGTCATCAGTGACTTCCACCTGGCCAAGCTGGAGAACGGGCTCATCAAGGAACCCGGCGGCACCCCGGAGTACCTGGGTGGGTGAGAGCCAGCTGGGCAGGCACAGGGCACCCCCTGCTGGGCTCCAAGCATGTCCCTAATGTCTCCTGCCAACCTGCCAGTCCTGGGAGCTCATCAAGGACCATCAGGTCCTTGCTGATGGTCATGGGTGCTCCTGGCAGGTCTCTCCTGCTCCCCATTACCCCAGGGCTGATCCTGGGTGCTTCCGGTGGGTCCCTCCTGCTCCCCATCACCATGGGGGTGAGGGGCTAGGGGTTGAGGACCCTGAGGCAGGGTAGTTCTCCTGTCCCTTGCAGCTCCAGAGGTGGTGGGGCGGCAGCGG